CAGGGCTGGCCAGGGGAGGGTCCACGGGTGGTTGGCCAGCTGGCCCAGCCCACTGGTCAAACTTCCGGTCAAACTCCTGGTCAAGGGGACAATTTGCATATTAGCCTTTTATTATATAGAATGTCATTTTTCATAATTGCTTTTGTTTATAACAGATGATGATGTACCTGCAGATATGGTTGCAGAAGAATCAGGTCCTGGTGCACAAAACAGTCCTTACCAGCTTCGTAGAAAAACTCTTTTGCCGAAAAGAACAGCGTGTCCTACAAAGAGCAGTATGGAGGTAAATTAAGTGTCACTGCTTTTCTTTTTGTAATGAAAAAATTGTTAGGAAACAAACAAAAAAGGAAAGGGAATGTCATTTTTTAGAAGTAATAAAAATATTTGCTTAATTAGTTTTCATTTTGTTTTTGAAGGGTGCCTCAACTTCAACGACAGAAAACTTTGGTCATCGTGCAAAACGTGCAAGGGTATCTGGAAAAACACAAGATCTTGCAGGTATTTCCTATGGGAAAACTAAGGGACATGGTCAGGTAACTTTTTTTATTTTGTTTGATACCAAAATATTAAAATTAAATGTACTTTAATATTACTTTTGGGATTGAGAAAATTATTATTATAGAACTAGAGGCCCAATGCACAGATTCATACATCGGTGGGGTCCCTTGGCGTGGTCTGCAGGGATTGGGACAAAACCTGCAGTCCAACGCCACCTGCCACTCCTGCCTGCTGCTCCCGCTTATCCTAGCCCCACTGCACCTGCCGCCACAGGCTTGTGCCCAGTCAGCCCCGATTGGGAGAGGCTCATGCTGCCACAGCAGCTTTTGCCAGCCATGAACCCTGCTTCTGGCACCCGTCAGTCACCCGGGGGCAGCTCCAGTCGTTTGGTCACTTAGGCTTTTATATCTATAGATAAACATGACAACTCTGACTTCTCCCTCTTTGTCTTTGTTATATAAAAATACCTTGTGTTGCCCTAGCTGATTTGGCTCAGTGGACAGAGCGTCAGCCTGCAGACTGAAGGGTCCCAGGTTCGATTCCAGTCAAGGGCCCATGCTTGGGTTGCAGGGCGTGCAGAAGGCAGCTGATCAGTGGTTCCCTCTCATATGTTTCTAGCTCTTTCTCCCTCTCCCTTCCTATCTGAAATCAATAAAAATATATTTAAAAAATAAAAACGCCTGTGGCCCAGACGGTTTGGCTCAGTGGATAGAGCGTCTGCCTATGGACTACAGGGTCCCAGGTTCGATTTTGTCCAAGGGACTTTTCCCCAGGTTGCAGGCTTGATCCCCAGTAGGAGGTATCCTAGCCCCACTGCACCTGCCGCCACAGGCTTGTGCCCAGTCAGCCCCGATTGGGAGAGGCTCATGCTGCCACAGCAGCTTTTGCCAGCCATGAACCCTGCTTCTGGCACCCGTCAGTCACCCGGGGGCAGCTCCAGTCGTTTGGTCACTTAGGCTTTTATATCTATAGATAAACATGACAACTCTGACTTCTCCCTCTTTGTCTTTGTTATATAAAAATACCTTGTGTTGCCCTAGCTGATTTGGCTCAGTGGACAGAGCGTCAGCCTGCAGACTGAAGGGTCCCAGGTTCGATTCCAGTCAAGGGCCCATGCTTGGGTTGCAGGGCGTGCAGAAGGCAGCTGATCAGTGGTTCCCTCTCATCATTGATGTTTCTGTCTCTCTCTCCCTCTCCCTTCCTATCTGAAATCAATAAAAATATATTTA